GAGAGAGAGAGCGAGAGAGAGAGAGAGAGAGAAAACGGGTAAGTCTTCAACGTCGTGGCTGTCGACATGGCACTTTCGTGGATAGGATGAGCAAAATCGAATGAATCTAGCGCTAGAGCATAGAAATATACACTTGTTTACCAACCGGAGTTGAAAAAAAAAAAAAGGGCAAAGGGGTCCTTGCATGACACCCCCTGTGGCTCCACTGAAAACCAAAAAGGAGGCAGTAGCTACAGAGCGCGCCGCGTTTGGGAAGCGTTTTTTTTTTTTTTTAAAACAAATCTTCATGGCAGGATCCCACTGAAGATGGTGATAAGAGCAGCCACCCTGGACCGAGCAGCAGTGACAGGCACTAATCTCTCTCTCTCTCTCTCTCTCTCTCTCTCTCTCTCTCTCTCTCTCTCCTGCGTACCACCAGAAACAAAACCGCTTTTTTTTTTGTTTTGCTTTTTTCTCTAAACAAGTAAATCCCTTCTTTCTCTCGTTTCCTTCTTGCTTTTTCTACTTTGTTCCTTTTACTTTTCCGTTTTCTTCTGCAGCTAGGCCTCGGGAGTGAGCGCCCGGTAGCTCGAGCCTCGGCACGGCTCGGCATACCGGTCGGCCGAGGCTCGGACTTTATAGCTGGGCCAAGTACTGGTGGTTTAAGAAGGCTGCTCTTATCACCACCTTAAGTGGGCTCCTGCCATGAAGATTTGTGTAAAAAAAAAAAAAAAAAAGCTTCCCAAACGCCGCTCTGCAGCTACTGCCTCCCTTTTGGTTTTCGGTGGAGCCACAGGGGGTGTCATGGAAGGACCCCTTTGCCCTTTTTTTTTTTTGTCAACTCCGGTTGGCACTGCAAGGACCCATTTGCCTTTAATATGATTAAGGATAAAATCATCTCATACCCCTTGGAGGCCCTTTAACCCCCTCTGAACCCTGGTGATAGCCACAGGACCCCCTAAAGTGAGACATCAGCAATTTTGATAAGGTCAGAAATGCCCCACCATTAGGGCTTTCTTTTTTTTTCCCCGGGTGGCGGGGCAGGCAGGTCCAGGCTGCCTGGGGCCGCTCGGCTGGCCAGGCCAGTGGACCCAGGTCACTCTGGTAGCCCAGAATGACTGTAATAATAATAATAATAATAATATAATAATAGCAGTATGGTTGTACATTTTTTAATCTTTTTTTTTATAGGGAAACTACACTGGAGTCACAAAAATGAGTTATTATTGCACTATGGGCCAAGATACAGTTTCAAACTGCAGTTCGGACGATGTATACAACGCAGCTTTCTGTGCTTCCAGGACAGGATCGTACAAGAAGTTCTTAGAATGATCTTAGAACCTATTTATGAACCCCGCTTTTCCACTTATTCACATGGCTTCAGACCGGGACGTAGTGCTCACACGGCCCTTAATGTTATAATGGGTACCTTTCATGGTGCGCAATGGTATATTGAAGGATCCCTGGAGGCCGAAGGCCCTGGAGCCGTAAATCATGGAACTCTGTATAAGATCATCCGGCGAACAATCCGAGATAAACGGATTCTCGTGCCCGAAGTGCAATTGCAAACTGTATCTTGCCGCATAGTGGAATTATAACTCCTTTTTGTGAATCTACTGAAGTTATCCCTTCTTTTTTTTATAGAAAGCCCAGGTTGTTGTAGAGGCCAGGTTCCAGACATACAGTGGTTGCAGTCATCAGTCAGCCATTGGTTACCCTGATAATATTTTTCTGAGACCGCCTCCGTAGCCATCCTCTCATCAACTCTCCCAGTGCACCCTTATTCCCACTTTTTTTTTTTTTTTTTTTTTGTTGGTAGAAAGCCTCCAGCAGTGTTAGAGGTGCTGATAAGAGCAGACACCTCTAATACCCGGACGGCGGCTCCGTCTATTGGTGGGGAGCGTCACCTGCCGGAAAACGGGTCCAGCATCCCATGTACAATTTGAATATGAAACTAATCAGAAAACATCTGTATCAGGGAATTCCTCATGATCTCCCTGGTCTAGTGTTGAAACAGCTGCCTCTTCACCTTTATGGACTGTGTAACCGGCTGAACGCGCTGAACGCGCGTTCGCGTTCAAACGCGCGCGTTGATACCCCTCGGGGCCGCGTTCAATCGCGTTCAAACGCGCTAAAAAAATTGAACACGACCCCAGGGGGCGCGCGCGCACGTTACGGACTACGGGGTGGTGGGCCTCGTTCGAGGAAGCCCGTAAGTGCAAAAAAAAAAAAAAAACAAGGCCTACCCCCCCTACCATGTCAACCCCCAACATATGTGAAAGGTCCTTTTTTTTTTTTTTTGGGCGCGGGGTGGTAAATCCCCCTAACGCGACTTAGACAGCCCATGCAGGCCATCTGAAGGGTCCTCGCGGCCATGTAGCACAGAACCCCCCACCAAAATCAAGGCAGGCAGTTACTATGAGGTAGAGCTTGAGCTGGCCGAATATATACTCAAGATTCGAATTCAGGTCTGTGTTTCAGCAGTTATGGGTTGCTCACGTAGCTAGGGCCTGCTGGTCTCTGCACGTGAATCTTAGGCCTTGGCTGCACTACTCACCAAATGTGCAAAACTAGAATGAATCTTCTTCAGAACATGGAAGAATACGCCGCCAGGGTCCCATTGTATTTTCTTCAGCAGAGAAAGAACAAAAAGAAAAAAAAACGAGTAAAAAAAAACAAGTAAAAAAAAACAAGTTAAAAAAAAAACAAAAGAAACTTCACTTACCCCGTCATAGCCATTAGGTACATGCCATCACTTTGAAAACACCACGTCCGTGAAGGCCTTCACAGAGGTGGAAAGGCCAGCAGTTCTTTGCGTAATGTATCTGGGCAGTAAGTGAGGTACGTGTGTTTTTTTTTTTTTTTTTGAGTTTTACTGGTCGAATCATTGCCCTGTCAGAAAGGCAGGGCGGATTCCACCCCGAGACATAAACTGCAACCTCAACTCGTACTCACATACTACTCTTGAATCCTGTATCTGGCCGCCATATGGGCCCACATCTTGTTTTGCTTTTGTTTTTTGGTTTCAGAGGGTACAGTCTCCTTAGGGCCCCATGGAAGTATCTGGCCAGCTATGACGGGGTAAGTGAAGTTTCTTTTTGTGTTTTTTTTACTTGTTTTTTTTTTCTTTTTGTTCTTTCTCTGCTGTGGCTGGCGTGAATACCAGAGAAGAAATACAATGGGACCCTGGCGACGTATTATTCCATGTTCTGCAGAACAGATTCATTCTAGTTTTGCATGAGTAGTG